TGATCTAAGCCCTGACTAAGCATGGTAGTCAGACAACCTATACTGACTTTCCGTATACTCTGTAAAATTAAAGAACTATGAAGTCCGAGTTCATTATTGCCAACCTAAAGGACTCATTTTCGTCGCTTTGTATCCATCAATTGCTCAATTTTTTTACCAAGTTTGATGGTGATCATATTATTTCGAAGCTAAAATTATTGTAGTTTTTAAAGTTTTGCTAAGAGCTGGTCAAGTCAAGTCAAGTCAAGCCAAGTTAAAGTCTTTTCAGTAGCCAGAATGATCGGAATTGTAATCGCTTTTTTCAATCAAGTGACGGGGCTTGTAAAATAAGGAAACGAATTTGATGCAATGAACACAGTGATAAGAAAATATTCAGCTTTGGAATTCATCCCGATTTTACATCAAACTTTAAACTAAACTGTGTTAGTTTTATAGTTTAACAGAGCTTTAGTTATGAAAACTCTCTTTTTCCTACTTGGGTTCTTATTTTGTTTGACCAAATCGGCTCTGGAGAACGAGCGGATCACGAGTTTGCCGAATTTCAAGGGAAATCTCCCATTCAAGCAATATTCCGGATATGTTGATATAAATCCGGCAAAAAGCTTGTATTATTGGTAAGCTTTTGGTGGGGTATGATTGTTGCTTGGTTACGATTATTATTTCGATCGATTTTACATTGTTCTTCATTTACATCCTATTTAGAAATCCGTCCAATTCGACGTTTGATCGAGACTAAAGTGAGGTAAAACGGCCGATCTAGAATCAAGCCGATCACTCTAAATCTAAGTCTGGATTGGACGTCTGATTTAGAGTGTGATCGGCCTGATCGGACGTCCGATCTAGAATCGGTTTATATCGGACGGATTTCTAGATCGGACGTAACATACATAAAAAACACCAACTCTGAATCAATTCTAGTTATCTCTCCGTTAAATTATTTAGACTTTAAAAGAATTTTGCATTAAAAGAAAGTTAAGCAGCTAATCAAGAAAATTCAGATTCCCTGGGATATATCCGATAAATACAGAACTGTTTTTGTATGTAAATGAATAACTTTCTAGTCATAATCTTTCAGTTTCTCCTATACAAACAATTTTGCTTGCTTTGGGTTGTGTTTAGTGATGCCGGCTGATATTTTCGGGTTATATTAAGTGAACAAAAAGCTGCATGCAAACTGTTAGACAAAATAAGGACTAGAAGACCTTCAAGTCTTGCTTCAAGACAAAAGTTTACAGGTACGTCAAGTCACAAAACAAGCCAGACACCGACCCAGTGGTCTTGTGGTTAAATGGTGGACCTGGATGTTCATCGTTGCAAGGTATTGAGTTTTTATCATAAAGCATTTGACGGAGGCGTTATCTAACAAGGAAAAGGGGATCGAGTCAAGAGTGAGTGGGACTCGAACTTGAGGGACAGAGGATGTAATAGGCTTAGTAGACTAGCAGACGATCCACTAGACCACCGAAGCAGTCATCAGGGAAACGTGTGACGGCCACATAAAGGGCTCGAAGGTTCGAAGATGAAGAAACGAAGGTGATATTTTATGCCAAATATCTCACGTTTTCGAAACGTTCTGCAAAAACTGAAAACGAATTCGAGATCCCCATGGCCGACTCTATAAGATGGATTTGGTCTCGAGTCAAAAGGACAGCTTGACTCGATGCTTTTCCCGTGTAAGAGAAGGATGGTTTTGAAAACTATCTTCATTCTTATTTTCTCCCTCTCAACTTTCTCCTTTGCTTATAATCCGCATTCGATGATGAGATCTGTATTGAAGGCAATAAAATCTGACTACAAAGTTACGGTAGTTCTCAGAATTGGTCATCTTTGAGAACAAATAGGGCATACGAGATTGCCAAACTCCCTCTTCAATGTCCTCAATTCCTGCATTTCAATGGGCTTCTCCCCCCTCCATCTCCATCATTTATCATTCGTCCTGTCTCCTCCATTCATCCCTCAACTCCTCCCGTCTTCAATTTGCTAATTGTTAGGGCACATTCGTTTTGCTCTTCAAAAACTGCCCAGCCCTGATGGTACTTTTTCACCGTGTACTTTGTGATCAAATCTTGTAAACACACCCTTTCTGGTGTGCTCGAGTCGTTGTTGCAAGAAAAAACGAAGAAATCTGTGCGCCAGAAAAGTGGTGTTTACAAGTTTCGATCACAAAGTACATCACGGAGCTAAAACGTGATCAAAGCTACCGTATCTGTAAAGGAAAAGTACCATTTTGAAGAAAAATTTCCCAATTTTCACATCCAACTCCCGAAAACACAGCTCAGCACTCAATTGTTTTCATATTTTTCCCATTTTTATGAATACACCGGTTCTCCTGTTATTGTTTTCTTCCATTTACGGGTTTCCTTCATTTATTGGTACTCATTCTTTCTTTTCTCATCGTTGCTTGTACATTTGTGAATTTTACAAAATTCCGTTCTTCTTTGCGTTTAGTAATAACATATCAATGAGAATAATAAAGTTATTTGTCTATGGATGTAAATGAATATCTACAGAGCGAAAAAGAAACAGAAATCCGTTTAAAAGTCAGAAAAAATAATTGGTTAGTGAATTGGTTATTGGTTTTGAATGAATTGGTTAGGAAGCCGAATTCGCTAAACTCAAGCCATTCTGTTTTTGGATTCCCTTGATAATCGATCAAGCGGATGTAATCAATCCATCCTTCAACTTTGATCAAAGCATAAATCCTCTCACTGAGCTTTGACTCTTGAAAGTATTCTCTTAATACTCCAACATCAATATGGTGAAATTTCTCCTTGAAATCCAATCCAGGAATACTTTCCCTATTTTCATAATTATTTGGATGATCCAAGAGAATCAAAAATGGAATATCTAAGAGATTTTGACAGCATAGAAATAGAAATGGACGTTTCATGAGAGCAGAGGCCAATTTTCTATGAGATTTAATACAATCCAGGTAACTGTCTAGAAACAAAACCTCATTTTTCGTGATTTCACCACATACTGGAATGTGCAATTCTTTAGGTAAATCTGACCATCCTTTCATTTTTTTAAACCCATCCATTTGGCATTCCCCTGAATGATTCTTTTGACAAATTGAACGAGGAGGATTTCTTAATTGGAATATGTAGCGGGGGAAGGGATAGGGCTCATAATATCTTTTATTTTCAGAAGATTCATCGAGAAGTGATTCAATATTAAATGGAACATTATTCTTCTCCGAATCTTCTATTGGAATCAGATATTTCAAGTTTAATTCTATGATATTTTCCCATTTTTCTTGTTGTTTTTCAAATATATCAATTATTCGTTCAAGAGGGATTTGTTTGTAACGGGAAAAATGAAGCAATTCATATTTTTTGTCTTCATTTTCAATTTCATAACTCCAGATTTCAGCTCTTGGATTGTCTACCCATTGTCCTGGTATTTGTTTCCATAATCTGAAGTCTTCACTTATAAACTTATTCTTTTCTATCTGAATCCATCCCTCACCAGTCAGTTGAGAAATAAAACATCGAAAACAAAAGTTTGTTGAGTATTTCTCTCTTTTTATTTCTTTCAAACTGTTAATCGAATGCTCACATATCCTCCAATTGTCAAAACTTGATATCCAAATCTCCTCGTGACTTTTAAGAATTGCCAAAGCTCCGTTTTCTTCCCAGAGCTGTTCTTGAAAATCTCCTAAAACAAACAATTCAAATATTTCAAAAATATTCTTTTCATGTAGATTTTCCTTCTTTTCTTCTATCCACAATATTTCCTGAATCACATAACGAGCATCTTTGAATGTCTGAGTTTCTTCTTTCAATCTTGAAACAATATTTGGTGCTTCTTTGTAGAAGTTGCCTCTTTGAACAGGATTTAGCATTCGGAGTTTACCTCGCATTGCCTCATTTATGATACCCCATCCTTCCTCCTCGAATCTCTTTTCATATTTTCTTTCCTCAGATTCAACCATAACCCATTCTGTTCTATCATCAAATCCAATTGGTTTTATCAGTTCTTTTTGACTTTTATCTTCTGAGGGCATAAAAGGGAGTGAAGAGATGAATTCATTTGTCTAGGTTATTATATTTGAGAAGTATTAAACTTCAACAAAAAGGAAACTTACTAAACTATTCGGTTAGACAGTATGAAACTTCGCAAATTTCCTTTCACTCGTCTTTACTTATTTTACCATTAAAATGAATTGGATTTCATGGTTTATCTAGAATTCTTAGGACTACCAAGTATTAAAGCTTCAGAATTTTTTGTGGTAAAATAGCTTAGAACGGCCGAACTCAAGTTGATTCATGTTCACATGCCATGTAAATCCGTGTTCCATCACTAAAGTTCTTCTTTCTTTCCGAATATACAGCGAGAACTTTTAAATAGTTAACCATAAAATTTCAGTTAAATTCATGTTAAAACAATTGGAAAAGCATAATTGGTGATAATTTTCACGCCGACCTGCGGACAAACATCTCCAAAATAAGCGTTCTCTGAGTGAAAACTGCCTAAACGCCCACTCTCTGGCATACAGCCGACTATGTTTGGTTCAATTGCCCAGTCATGAGGTGCTTTTCTACAAACTAACTCGCTTTTCTGCCGTATTTTTCTTGTTGTTTGAACCACGAAATTTGCTGAAAATTTAAGCCTAGCTATTTTAAAGTTTCCCCTATATCTTTCGAAAGAAAGAAGAACTTTAGTGATGGAACACGGATTTACATGGCAGGGGAGCATAAGACAACTTCAATCCGGTCGTTCTCAGCTATTTTTCCACAAAAGCTTTCAAACTTTAATACTTGGTAGTCCTAAGTATTCTACGTAAACCATGAAAATTCTAGTTATTTTAAAAGTAAAAAAAGACAGACAAATAAAATAGAAGTAAATTGACGTAAATAAATTGACGAGATTTCATACTTTCCAACCCAATATAATAGTAAACAAGAAAATCAACTTCTACTAAAAAGTTTACGTTCTGTGTTTGTTTGAGGAAATCCAAAACTTCAGAAGCTGGTGGACGATGAATACGTTGAAAATTAGTACATCTGATAAATGGATTCTTAAAATGTAAAGGAAAATCTTGAAACCTCGAGATGATTTTTTGAATTTCTGATTGACAGTCAGGTGATTCGATTTCAGTAACACGTTTGAGTGCAATATCAAACAATAATTGGTCACGATCAAACCCTCCAGATGTCTCATAGTTTGTGAAAATGGTTCTAAAATAATGAAAATGTTGTTCGAAGTCTTTTTTGATATCTGAAATCAGGTCAAAATGTGAATATGAATACCTCCTTTCGATGATTTCCCACATAACAACTCCCAAACTGTAGACATCATTTCGATGGGAATTCTGGAATTAATATTTCTTATGTTTGAATAGAATTGAAAAGAATGTAAAGCTAACCGATACATCAGCCTCCTTTATTTGTAATCCCGTATTTGTATAAAACATCCCGTTGTACCCCATCCTCCTTTATATCGGGTGGACTCATATATCGTGGTGTTCCAATAAACGTCTCACTAACAGTTCGATCTCCCACTACTTTTACCATTCCGAAGTCACCAATCTTCAGCTGGTATTCATTGGTCACAAAAATGCTATAAATGAATTCAACTTTGACATTTATACCACTGAATATTACTTGTCAGGTTTGATATCTCGATGTACCAATTTGTGTTTCTGATACATGTGATCAATGGCATCAAATAATTGAATTCCCCATGTGAGAACAGTGTTCATTGAATATGTAATTGTTGGATCAAGAAGCACTAAACTCTAAGATATAACAATGTCAGTCCAATCCCAACCTCCCTTGAGTGGTCCCTTCTCACAATATTCCATTACAATTCCGACTTTTATTCCTTCTGCTATATGTCGATAGAATCGGACAATATTTACATGATAGATCTTCTCCAAAACTTGACATTCATTTTTGAAGATCTTCAATTGTGCTTCATTGCCACAAAACATATATTTGATCACAGCTGGGCTAAACAAAGAAGCTTATGGTACAATAAGCCTCTACAAAAGACTTAAATGGCAGTGAATAACCAACGGTTCGTGTCCAATCAATTCATACACTTCTCCATGTGCCCCTTGCCCAATACACTTTCCCAATTCAAATTGACCAGGTGTTGCCATTTTTCACAGATAAGGCTTTAGCCTAAACAGCTAATGAATGAAAGTTGATATCAAAATTCGAAAAGCAGCTGGAAGGTGAGGGCAAAAACTTTTACCACATTGATAGGTGTCTTATCTCTTTCTTCTCTCCACTCTATTCCGAGATTGATTGATTCTGGGTTTTGGGAAAAGGAGAGGAATTTGATAATAATAAACGGAATCTTTTTAATTCATTAAATTTATTTTTTGTTTTGTTTTTCTTAAAATTGACCCAATCCAAAAACGGCTTTGAGAGCCACAAAGAACATTACAGTTTTTTATAATCGTCGCTTGGAGCCCGATTCCGAATTATTTCAGAAAAAAACATTTAGGACAACATTTAGGAGCAAAATTTTAAAAGTAAGCGGAAAAAATAAAACTTTCGCTTGTGTGAGAAGCTTAGAATTGACCTCGGGCAAAGTGCCTTTCTTGAAAAGCACAAAAATTGCAATCAAGAACTGGTAAAAAAAATTTACCAGTTCTTGTCCGAAAAAATCATGTATATATTCAGAGTCCCTAGACTCTTAGTAACATCTTAGCAGATTGCTCATAAGATTTGGAAGTAACCTCGAGAAGTAACACCCGTTCAGGCATTACTTATTAGCCACCCTGTTGATGCCCTTATCTGGCTGGTCATATGATCGGACAATTTAAATTTTATCTTCTGATAAGCAATTCTACTATCCAGCTAATTGTTGAGCCTAGACTAAACAGCTAATCCTTGAAGATTCAGCTCTGAACTGAGCTCTGCGAAACACTAAATCTAGTTGCACTTATCATTTGGCAGAATTTATTTGTATTTAAGTCCTTGAGTTACGTTTTTAAGTCGAAGCCCTTATTAATGAAGACATATCGAAGAGCCGTTGTTGAATAATCAAAATGAACAAAAAGCCAAAATGGAATTTTTCAAGTTATGTTGCAAGATAGGATTGGTCGAGCCAACAAAAAAATATTATTGGGCTGCGTTTGAAAAGAGTCGAGGTCTTGAACAAGGAAGGCCTTATCTCTCGATTTTATTTACTCGCCCTTTCAGATTGCCACGTTTCACCCTGAATGTCTTTCTGAAACTGTCTTTGTGCAACGATTACGAAGGAAACCCCTTCGATTTGGTTTAGTGCTATTTTTGTTGATGAATTTTTTATGAACAAAAAGCGTAGGGGTGAATCATCGCATCAACCCATTCATGCTGCAATATTATTAACTGTTCGTAGACGTTCGGTTTTCCAAGTTTTCCTTGCTTTTCCAAGTTGGTGTATATTTTTGTTGTTATATGGCAAAAGAACTTTAAAGAAAGTTAACCTTAGCAAAAAGCACAAAAAATGTTTTTGAAGGCGAAGCTGCCATGTGTGAGACGTTTTGTCCTTTCGCCCAGACGTAAAAATGCCCAAAACAGCGCCGAGGCAAAGCATAGTTTTTTCTTTTCCAATGTACAATTCATCTTTTGATTGCAACTTTTAATTTTGATAATTTATTGAAAAACAACATGGCCAACAATCAAACGATAACATAGCATAAAAACAAAAAATAGCATAAAGTTAATAGTCCAAGAGACTCTGAAAAATCATAACACTAGCGATGAAGAACATAAACAACTACAGCTTGCAAGTGATCCGTAGAAAAAGAATTGGGTTTTCTAGTCAACACGTCGGTCCGTGATGATAAGCGACGTCACAACGATGATGAGCATGCAGCAACACCTTGCTCAATTTCGGATTGCTCTGTTATCTGCAAAATCAAAAAGTTAGTAAAAGCGTTAAAGAACAGGCCGCAAAAGGAAAAAGTTTGGTATTTTTGGTTAAAATCACTTTAAGAAAGCGCTACGGTGAGTTTCTATGCGTGAAACCTAAAAAAATCAGATTCTCCGCCTCTTTTTATCTTAAAAACACAAAAAGCAGACAGAAAAAATTAAAAATTGAAAAGAAAAAGCAAAAGGAAAAGTCTAAAAAATAATTTTTTTGCTCGTCGCTGTTTTGGGCGTCAAAACGTGTCGTCTTTTGTTCATTTCTTTATTGAAATTCTCTTCTCATCTTCTCTCCGTTATTGTTCCCCCCAAAATGGCTTCTATTGATTCAAAACCTTTCCTCTTCTCAATTCTCAATTCCTCCAACAGTCCTTCGAGAATCCGTATTGAAATGTTTGGGAAGGGATGGATTGCTAAAATTATTGAAAGTGAATAGAGCTCTTCGTCGTTATATCGTCGTTAAAGGGATCATTACCTGATCAAATCGATGAGTTCACATTCATGAGTGATTTGCAAAACACAGTGGACGTGAGTCGGTTCACTGTCATACTGATGCACTGTCAATTGGTCATTCAATTAAACTCCAAAACATGGCACAAGAGCATTGTGTTCTATGACAAAAAACACCAAAACACTCAGCTTAACACTCCAATTTTCCTCAATAAACCCAAATATTGTGAATCGCTGAATGTGATCGTTGATATACAAGAACTAGTTGGTGATGAGGAAGAAAAACTATCCAAATCAATCCAAGAGCTCTTCTCAAACCTTTTAGAGCTCCATCAGATATCTAAGTGTTCAATTCGGTCATTGTGCATTGGCTGAGTGCTTTTTCGGTAAAGTCACGGCTAGTGTTGATTTTATGGAGCTCACTGAATACTCATTCATTCTTCACATTTATTCTAGAGCATCTCACGACCAGGATGAAACGTGGCAATCTGATAGGGCGAGTGAATAAAATCGAGAGATAAGGCCTTCCTTGTTCAAGACCTCGACTCTTTTCAAACGCAGCCCAATAATATTTTTTTGTTGGCTCGACCAATCCTATCTTGCAACATAACTTGAAAAATTCAATTTTGGCTTTTTGTTCATTTTGATTATTTAACAACGGCTCTTCGATATGTCTTCATTAATAAGGGCTTCGACTTAAAAACGTAACTCAAGGACTGAAATACAAATAAACTCTGCCAAATGATAAGTGTAACCTAGATTTAGTGTTTCGCAGAGCTCAGTTCAGAGCTGAATCTTCGAGGATTAGCTGTTTGGTCTAGGCACAACAATTAGCTGGATAGTAGGATTGCTTATCAGAAGATAAAATTTAAATCTTCCGATCATATGACCAGCCAGATAAGGGCATCAACAGAGTGGCTAATAAGTAATGCCTGAACGCGTGTTACTTCTCTAGGCTACTTCCAAATCTCATGAGCAACCTGCTAAGATGTTGCTAAGAGTCTAGGGACTCTGAATATATACATGAATTTTTCGGACAAGAACTGGTAAATTTGATTGCAATTCTTGTGCTTTTCAAAAGAGGCACTTTGCCCGAGGCCAATTCTAAGCTTCTCATGCAAGTGAAAGTTTTATTTTTTTCCGCTTACTTTAGAAATTTTGCTTCTAAATGTTTTTTTTCTGAAATAAAAGGCGCCCACTGAGACGATGCTCGCGCTGGAAAACGGCCATCCAATTACCTGAAAGTAGCTCCTTTTAGGTGTCGATCGAGCCGCTGATGTTTGAAATTTGAAAAATGTTTGAAATGTTTGAAAAAAGAGAAATTGGAATGTAACTGAGTTTTTCAAACAGCACTATCGACACCTAAAAGGAGCTACTTTCAGGTAATTGAATGGCCGTTTTCCAGCGCGGGCATCGCTTCAGTGGGCGCCCGTGTGGCCCAGAGAGCTGCATCAACAACAGCCGCTCTGGAGGGTGCCCGTTTTGGTGCAAACAGAAGGGCAACTGCTGTAGACAGTAGAACGACAGAGACGAATTACATTTGCCGATTTAATAAAGCTTGTAAATAGCATTTTTTTTACACAAGGCACAACGAGCAAAAAACAAGATGATGAACTAAATGGCCAATTAAATTCAAGCCATGAGTCACGGATGAGGATGTCAATATAAAAATCCTACTTGCTTTGCTTTTTTATTTCTTGAAAATCACAAGAAATTTCGCTTGCTTGCTAAAATTGCTTGTTAAAATTCATGAAGGAGATTCTGCGTCTTATCAATTTTTCGCTTTCCCTCATAAAGGCGGATCACTTTTCTTTTCGAAGTTCTTCTTTTTATTATTCTATTTCCTTTTGTTAATCGTTCGACATAAAAATGAGGTTTTAAACATAAAACTTATACAAGTTTTTCTCCTATTTTTCTTCTTGAAATAAATCTTATTTCTTGTTTAAAAAAATCTTTTCTTTGAAACTAATTTCAAGAAGTTTAGAGTTTTAGTTTCCAAAGGCAATGACCGATGATTCCAATGGGGATCCTTTCGAGGCGAGAAGGAAGAGAAGTTCGAAGGAGCGAAAGATCGAAGAAGCGACTTTCGTCCTCAGCAGTGGCAAGAATCCGATTTCCGTTCAATTTCCTTCGGGATATGAACCACACACGGTCAGACAAAGTTCCAATCAAAGTTAGAGCAGCATTGCTATTGTCAGTGTTTTTGTAACTTACTGTATTTCTTACTGTGACTGACTGAGTGTTCAACTTTGAGCTCAAATATCTCGGTGACTTTAATGGTTTTTGCCCCATCCAAATGGCACATTTACAAGTGGAAATTTCATGGAGAATCGAATGGTACCATTTGTAGATCGATCCCAAGGCTAGAAGTATGATTTGCAAGCCTTTTCCAAAACTTCATCATTGTCTATAGAAAAGCTTGTTAATGCGCCATTTGGATTGGGTAAAAGTTCCAAGGATCACCGAGGAAATCGGCCTCAAAGTTGGTCACTCAGTCAGTCACAGTGAGTATTGTGACTGACCCGGTACCAAGGAAAGTCAACTTCTAGACTGCCGATCGGTCTGAAACTCGGGGAAATATCTGTGAACTGAATTGCCGATTTGGTTTTTCGTAATTCTCCGTCAACAGGATAAACAAATAAGCAAAAATATGACCACAAATTTTTTGACTTCTAATTAACTCCAAATAATTTTTCAGGAAGACACTTTCTATCGAACAAATGTGCCAAAGGAAAACTATCACATAATTGGCGAGGGAATATATGCGTATGTGATGTGGGTTTTTGATCAG